GCTACAAATTAAGACCTTTACTCGGCACTCATGGCCATTGATCAGTGAGAGTTCTTTATCATGCCAACGCCTACCGTGACACGGGACCTGTTTTTAAGGTCTCATCTGAAAGACCTGCAACTTTCACTTCAAAGTGCCAAACGCTTTGCAAAGGAACAGTTGTTAACTTTTTTTTATCGACTTAGGTCAGTCACAGCCATGATTCAAACACACGACCTTCCGATCACAGAGTGAATGCTCTACCGACTGAGCTACTGTGATGGTCTTAAATACCCAGGAAGAAGATATTCAAAGAATTAATGCATTTTCACTATATAATCAAATATATACAGACATCCCCCCCCCCCCCCACCAGAACCCCTAACCTTGGGGCCAAAAATTCCACAATTTTGAAAGAGACACCCTTGCTCATCATAACTATGCATGTAGTTTATCTGCTAAATATACAGGGGGAGAGAAGATTTTTAAAGAACTAATGCATTTTCACTATATGATCTAAGAACCCCTGACCCTGGGGTCATGAATTTTACAATTTTGGTAGAGGGCTCAGTGCTTAATACAATCATGACAACAGTTCAACTGCTTGATGTCCAGGAGTAAAGAAGAATTTGAAGATAACACTAATTTTGATGGTTTTAGCCCCACCCTTCAAGCCCCTGGGGGGGGGGGGGGGGGCACCATGAAATTCACAAATTTTGTTCCCCTTTACTCATATAATAAGTTGGAATTGGTTTAGTGATTCCAGAGAAAAAGCTGAAAATGTTCAAATGTTAATGCATGACAATAGACTAAAACAGATAGCAATAGAGTGACTCAGGTGACCTAAAAAATGTCTTAAAGTTACATTAAATAAATTTTGATGTAACATTCTAAATTGTCTTAGCCCTCAAAGACACATGACCCAAATTCTTTAGCACGCATGTGGTCAATAGCATCTCAAGTCACACTAATGTAGAAAACAAGAGGCCCATTCGCCACATCTCTCACCTGAGTAACTGGCCATGCTGTTCTTTACCAGACTTCCCCCCTTGTAATACCTATTGTGGCCCTGCCCTACCCCTGGGAGTCATGATTTGAACAATTTTGAATCTACACTACCCCAGGATGCTTCCACATAAGTTTCAGCTTTTCTGGCCCAGTGGTTCTTGAGAAGAAGATTTTTAAAGATTTTTCCTATATATTTCAATGTAAAAACGGATTCCCTATTGTGGCTCCACCCTACCCCTGGTGGTCATGATTTGAACAATTTAGAATCTACACTAGCCCAGGATGCTTCCACATAAGTTTCAGCTTTTCTGGCCTAGTGGTTCTTGAGAAGAAGATTTTCAAAGATTTTTCCTATATATTTCAATGTAAAACTTGGGTTCCCCATTGTGGCCTCACCCTACCCCCAGGGGTCCTGATTTGAACAATTTAGAATCTACACTACCCAAGGATGCTTCCACATAAGTTTCAGCTTTTCTGGCCCAATGGTTCTTGAGAAGAAGATTTTTCCTATATATTTCAATGTAAAACTTGGATTCCCTATTGTGACCCTGTCCTACATGTACCCCCGGGGGTCCTGATTTGAACAATTTAGAATCTACACTAGCCCAGGATGCTTCCACATAAGTTTCAGCTTTTCTGGCCTAGTGGTTCTTGAGAAGAAGATTTTCAAAGATTTTTCCTATATATTTCAATGTAAAACTTGGGTTCCCCATTGTGGCCTCACCCTACCCCCAGGGGTCCTGATTTGAACAATTTAGAATCTACACTACCCAAGGATGCTTCCACATAAGTTTCAGCTTTTCTGGCCCAATGGTTCTTGAGAAGAAGATTTTTCCTATATATTTCAATGTAAAACTTGGATTCCCTATTGTGACCCTGTCCTACATGTACCCCCGGGGGTCCTGATTTGAACAATTTAGAATCTACACTACCCCAGGATGCTTCCACATAAGTTTCAGATTTTCTGGCCCAGTGGTTCTTGAGAAGAAGATTTTTAAAGATTTTTCCTATATATTTCAATGTATAACTTGGATTCCCTATTGTGACCCTGTCCTACCACCGGGGGTCCTGATTTGAATAATTTAGAATCTACTCTATTCCATGATGCTTCCACAGAAGTTTCAGCTTTTTTGGCTCAGTGGTTCTTGAGAAGTTTTTTTAATGACCCCACCCTATTTTTGTCTTTTCTTGATTATCTCCCCTTGTAAGGGGACTTGGCCCTTTACTTTCACAATTTAAACTCCCCTTCACCCAAGAATACTTTGTACCAAGTTTGGTTAAAATTGGCCCAGTGGTTCTTGAGAAGTTGAAAATGTATGAAAAGTTTACAGACAGACGGACAGACGACGGACAATGGGTGATCAGAAAAGCTCACTTGAGCTTGTTAGTCAGCTTCTTTAACTAGTGAGCCAATATCCACAGTCCATACAGCCCAAACCACTACAATACTAAGGCACTCTATTCCACAGCATGAATTCATTTGTTTGTCATTGCAACAGGTATGATGTCAACTAAGAACAACATTCAGTGCAATAAGTATGCAAGCTCCCAATATACTTGACTTACAAATAAATAACAAAAATAGGAAGTATGTCAAAATATTTATTATTTGATATAACTACAAGGCAGATCGCCTACGGTACATGTGACACTAAGTCTGTTTATCTCAATCTACAATGTACTACACAACAGGTACATGTAGAGCCCTGCACCACAGAAACCGCCTTAAAGCTGATGTATAATAATGTTTCTGTGGTATAGGGCTGCCTTACAGAAAATACAAAAAAAAAAAAGTGAGCTATCCAGAAATGCTGTAGTTTCCCTAAGTTCAAAATCATGATACATGTGTATATAATAAAAAATGAAGGAAAAAAAGATTACTTTTCACCTAAGACTGCAGACAGAATGATAACAAGTTAACAGGAAAATAATAAAGTATTAACAAGTGATATATATATAAATGGTAATAATATATGTATACATATAATATTTATACATTGCTCATCTATTATTTTAAAACCATTGAAATCATATTATTCAATTTACTCAATTATTTCAGACATAAATCGGTAATTAGGTCTCTGATTAAATTATCATATAGTATGGCAATATCAAAATTACATGTACCAAAAACAAAATGGAAAAATTCTTGTACTCACAGTTCAGATACCATTGCCAATTTTGACTTTTGTTATAACGGCTCAGTTTATGTATTGCTGTGGTGAGAAGCCTAACTTCTTTTTTAGTATTTGTATTCTATCTTAGCTTCCTAAACTTAATAAATACAATTTCGATGGTTAAAAATTAACAGATAGCTTTGTGGTACAGCCGTTCCTCTGAGCAAAACATGTAGTCCTTCAAAACATTTAAAAATAAGAAAATACTAAAAGAAAAAATCAACAGAGAAAAAGAAATGACAAGTTTTGACCTCCTCATGATCACATGGCCCCTTTAGTATCAACATGCACTTTGTGCCAGACATAACAATCCTCCTTAAAGAAGTTATTCGTTATATTTCCATCTCTTTCTGAACATTTCTTTATATTCATATTTCACTCCTAATTTTTCGTTTCATTTTTATTAATTTACAATTTTTATCATTTTCCCATCACAAGAAAAAAAAATTACCTCCAACATCAGGTAGTACTTCTAAAATAGTACACTGTAGTTTTAAATTAAACAATGCATGTCACAACTTTAATCTATAGCTACTCTATAAAGTATAATTTTTAAATTTGTTACTGCATAACAGAATGTTTAAAACTAACGACCCCCCCCCCCCTCCCCTTATCAAACACTCTTATTTTGAGACAGTATTTTTACAAATATTTTTAAAACAAATTCCTTAAAAAATTATCTCCATATTGATTTACTGTAAACTTGGTAATATTGACAGTTTCAAGTCAATTGCAAACCTGGTTATATTGACAGCTTTAAGTTTACTGTAAACCTGGTGACATTGACAGTTCTAAATTAACTGTAAAACTGGTTATATTGACAGTTTCAAGTTTACATACTGTAAATCTGGTTATATTGACAGTTTTAAGTTTACATACTGTAAATCTGCTTATATTAACAGTTTTAAGTTTACATACTGTAAATCTGCTTATATTAACAGTTTTAAGTTTACATACTGTAAATCTGCTTATATTAACAGTTTTCAAGTTCAATGTACACTTGGTTATACTGACAGTTTTAATTTTATCATTTTAGAAATTTGGGGAGAGGAAACTTTGAAGATTTAGTTGTAATTAATGTGTCCAATAATCAGATATTTGTAGAAATTATCTGTTTTATCAGTGTTTTCACATTGTCAATGTTCCAGGTTTACAGTGCAGGTGGTTAAAAAAAATTAAATTCTAAAAATGAGTTTCCCAAGTGTCCTACCTTGACAGATTTTTATTTACAGAGATTTGTAGAGGGACACCTAGTCTACCTGGTTGTCTATGACAACTAACACCATGGAAATTCCTGATCACAAATGCACCACAGTTGACCTATTTAACAAAAATGCAAAATCAACTCAAAAAAAAAAAAGAACTTCGCATTTCTTTGCCAGAGCAGATAATCAAAATAAGATATTAAACAGTACTTGCAAACACCTCAAATAAACAGTATCAAAATGTGATTACCGTACCTTGCATTAATTAAATTGTAGATTATTTTTTTGTGTTTTCAACATCATTATTAAATAATCATTTGTAGCAATATCAGACAGAAGTCCTTAAGATTTCACAGAAAAAAATTAGGAAAAAAAAGACAGCTACATATATATATCATATACCTTAATATGCAAAAAAAAAGAAAAAAAAAAAAAAAACTCTTCTAATGAACATGAATTTGTGCACATATGTATTGTAAAAATATCAATGCAGAAAAATATGGAAATAATGAAAAGGTGATAATTTGAAGAACTTCTTTCTTCTCTGAAGAGATTTTTGCTTTCCACAATTCAATAACTTTTCTAAGATCCCCCCCCCCCCCCCCCCCGGTTTAAAATTTGAGATATTTTTTTCCCAATCCTCATAGAATTAAAGGATATGAGAGGTAGACAAAATGAGATGACCTGGAACTTAATTACAACTCAAATCTGGAGATTTTCTAGTTTTAGAATGCATGGCATGGTCTGCTGGAGATTTTCTAGTTTTAGAATGCATGGCATGGTCTGCTAATATTCAAATTTTCTTTTACTTTTAGAAAAAAGAAAAATATTCATTTTTTTTTTTACTTTGGAAAAAAAAGAAAAAGAAAACAAAGCCAAAATTGCTCCTATTTCAGATTAGTATCATGCAATAGGATGTGTGGTGATGAGGGCTTAAAATTAACAAAAATCAACAGAGTCATTAGAAAAATGTAGAAAATAATAATCAAATGTACAAATGCATGTTCAAATATGTATACATATATATACAAGTTTTCCTATAATTTTTACACGATACAAATATATATATTTATATATTTATGTACTAGTACATGAAAACTCAGCACTTTCATTTAACGAATACATGTACAACAATACAACAATTTGAATGACCAAGATGAATTATACCCGTACTTATCAGTGATAATATAAATGCATATCTGAGTTCTTTATGCCCCCAGAAATCAAATCACAAGCAGGAAACAAATCTATTTTTCTTTCATTGATTACTTCTCTCTCACACAGTACATACCTAGTACCCAGTTTTACAATCTTTTTCAGAGTAAAGATTTTCTTAATGAGGAGGAAATTTACTTTTTAGAACAAATCATTTTCCCATACAAACACTTGTCGAGTTTTCAAATGACTGCCGTGAAATTGTTCCCACTGATATCTCAGTCATCTCTTAATAGGTAACGAAAAAATATTCGAAAAAATTATGAGATGGAGGCAATTCCTTTTGCAATATAAAAAAAGAATTCATATTACCCAGACAATGAGAGCCTTTCTTTCTCTCTCTAACAACAAACAAAAACAGTTCGATACTAGAAAATATTTATCATACATACATACAAAATAGTTTCTATTTGAGGAAGAATATCGTTAACACCCGTAGCACATTTTTTTTTCTCTCTCAAAATTTGTGCTTGAAAATTCAGAATATGCTTAATGCTGCAGTAAATAATTTAAAAACATTATAAATGACATAAAACAATGGTCAGTCACACTTCAGATCAAACAATGATGATTAGTAAGAATGTATCTAGGGTGGAAATTGACATATTACACTGGAACACAGAAAATACAACAGCTCATGTTTACTGAAATCAAATTTGGAATAAACAAACTTACAGGGTAAAATTATTGCTTTGCTAGTGTAAACTATATCACACACCTGTGATCTTGAGAGGGGAACTAAGTATTTTTTGAATTGTAACTGAACATGATTGACAATACTGTTACATTGTGAGCAAAACGTGAAAAAAAATCCACCCCTATTATATAAATCATACAACAATTGATTAATATATATCATTCACATTGCACAAAAATAGTCTATAATGTTTAGCTGACTTTGAAGACTTGCAGTAGAATATAATATATCTTCTGAAAATATTTTCTGCTTTGTTTAATTCAGAGGCATGTTATTTGGCTGAGTAATGAGGTATTTGATAATTATTAAGTATGAAAGTTATAAAACTGACCAAAAAATAGTCAAATATATATATTAACAAAAACCATAAATAAACAATTAATTTTGCTGCTTTCTTAATCAACAAACATCACAAATTCACACAAAAGATGAGGTATATCAAACAATGAAGACGCAAACTGGAGTTATTCCCCTTGACAGATCATTTCCAACAACATATAAGAAAAAAATGAATGAGGTACTATGTTTAATATATCATTGACCAAAAATGTAAATATCTGGGGCATTTACATATTACCCTTCTTAATGATGCATTCATACAAATATGATAAATCTAACAAAAATACACAAATGCACTGAAAGATAAAGAACATCGAGGTATATACTGTACTTCGTTTAACAATTGAAAAGATCTGAGCTTTTATCTCAAATGATCTGCAATATGCATGGAGAAGTATGTTTTGTCTTGGCAGTTTTCATCACACACAGGGCAGGCAAAGGGCTTCAGATTTCCACCTCGAGCATGCAGCTTACTGTGAATACGATACATTGCATACTCCGAAAAGTAACACTCGCAGTGGTCACATTTGTAGAGCCTACCAGTTGCTAGAAGTGTTGATATGCTCTCTGTTGAGTTGTCTAACCCTGAGCTGGAAACCTGCTGGTAGGTGGAGCCGCTGTGATCTGAATGTACGCTGGCTTCACTTGGACTCCTTACGTCCTCTTGGAGCAGCTCTAAGCTGCTTTTGCAGCATTTATTAACCTGAATACCAATGTCCACTGAGTTGGCTTTGATTCCTGGAGCCAGGGTAACAGACGGCCGTTGAACATTTGACCCTGTCACTGTCCATGACTTTTCATCTGAGGTAGGAGGTGAGAGGATATTTTCCTGACTTTCATTGCTTCTAATTTTTTCTGCTTTTTGAATGCTGAGGTTGAGGGCATCAGCTTGAGGTGTGTGGTGACTAGTCTCCAAAAATCCAGCAGAGGAACGGAGAGGCATCTCTGAGGTAGAGGTTGGTAATGAGGTATTGAAAATAGACGGAAATGACGAGGCTGCTGCAGCAACAGCTGCCTGGTGATTCTGGTAACTCATAAATAATGCATTTGACATTGCAACTGAGGTAGGTGCGTTGAAGAAACTGTTATATGCTGAATCAGCATAAGGAGTGACTTCCTCCTTACGATCATCTGGTGAAGCATGCAAAGGCATACTGTTGCTGTTGCTTTTAAGAGGAGTGCCATTGCTGCCGTTTGTAGGTGGTAGCATGTTTTCCTGAGAAGATGCACTGTTTTTCACAAAGAGATCCCAGACACTTTCAGCTGATATACCATGACGACGAGCATGTCTGCGCAAAGTTGAACCCCGGGTAAATTTAGCTCCACAAATTGAGCACTGGTAAGGCTTGATGCCTGCATGTAGCTTGATATGAGATTTCATGTTGTTTTTGTAGCCAAATCTTTTACCACAGATGGGACAGCTATAGGGCTTTTGGCCTTCATGGACCTTCATATGAAAAGCCATGTGACTTGCAGGAAACTCATGCCCACATATATTGCACATCTCCTTAGGTTCATCTGTGTCTGCCAATCCTGATGAGTTTGGTGCCTGCTCCAGGTTTTCCACCTCTCTGTCTGGTGAGGCCTCATTTTCAATGGAATCTGACAGGGCCTCAGAGTCCATTGTCTCTTGTTCTTCATCTCCATCTTCCAATGAATCATCATCAAAGTCACCACTACCAGGGGCACCAGGCATATACTGAAGAGACTCCTGCTCTTCTTTGGTTAAACTGTGACTTTGTAAATGGCTGATCAAATCATTCTGAGCTTCCACTGCCTCTCCACAGTGCTTGCATGTCCAAGGACTCTCTGCATGCTGGTTCTTGATGTGTATTTGGAGACTGCTTTTGCTGTTGAAAGAGACTGTACATAATGCGCAAGTGAAAGCAACCTCTCCTAAGTGAGCTCTCTCATGGGTAATTCTTAGTCCTGCCTTAGAGAATCTGTCCCCACAAAATCGACAGGCATATGGCTTAAATTTGGTGTGGATCTGCTTGTGTACATGAAGCTGCCAGGATGAAGGAAAATTCTTACCACATATTTCACATTTGGTTTCCCCTCCTTCCACACCATCTTTACAGTCCATCCTGTTCTCACCGTTTGTCGTCGAATAAAGAGAAGCATTCTGAGACACTGGCAATGAGGTAGGTTCATTAATATCCATTAAGTCTGAATCATCCTGACCAGAGTGTGTACTTCTCTCACCTCTTTTCACCCTCTCGTTCCCTGCCAAATCTTCTTTTTCTGTGTCTACATCCCGACCATTTTCAACTTTGACATGTTCTTTCTGCAATTCTTCCTGAATGAGTTCCCTTTGATACTGGTCTTCATGTGTGACTGAGCTGGCATCATCATGTGAGGTTCCTGAGGGGGATTTGGACAGGTCCAGTCCAGCTGAGGTATTGTATGGGGACAATGAATGACCCCTAGTTTCACTTCGCTTGAGGTGAGGTGACCTCCGAGACTCAGTCATGTAGTGAGAGGAGGAGAGATCAGATGATGCTTCGTACAGTTTGCTGCCCTGAGATGTACGCTGTTCCTGAGCTTCTTTTTTTACAATGACTCCTGGGTACCCCGCCGATTCCATCTCTTTGAGGTACTTCCGATCCATTAAAAAGGGAGGGGTCATGAGAGGAGGTAATGATTTGTTTAGCGAGTTGGAGATTTTCCCTGACTGAACAACTTTCGATTCCCCTGATTTCCGAGATTCAGATATGGATGATGACAGAGGCCATGATGCGCTATGATCAGATGCTGTGCTGACTACCATTTTCTTGGTGTCCTCTTGAGGTACCATACTGCACACTGCTGCTCGAAGGAGAGGACAGCGCTTTTCATGATAACGTCTCGTTGTGGACCTGGTAAAGACCTTCCCACAGTAACTGCAAGTGCGGGACTTTCGAGGATAACCATTTGAGGTAAATTGGTATAGATCACTAGGGTACCCGTAATTTGGCATGGCAACACCACTCAGTCCATATGGAAATGAATCCGTTGCTCCACTTCGCCCTCCACCTAGGGGGCTATCCCCCCTAAATGTATCCCCCTGACTGAAGTTCAATGCCCCCATTCCGGAGGCAGCAGCTGCCAGTAATCCCTGAGCCGTACTTGTTTGAGCTTTATTACTCAAATCCATTGTAGAATAAATATCCTTATAAAAGTCTATAACAGTTCCCTGATTTAAAGTTTTTATCTTCTTTTTTCCTTGAACCACCATAGATCCAAAAGATCACGCCTTCTTTATTACCTGCAAAATATTAAAGACCTCATCAGCCATCAGTTCAACTGCATTCATTTAAAATATGTATTTTTTATTTAACAAAAACCATTAAAAACAACTTATGTGAACAAACTTCGCAATAATCAGAAAAATGAATCTTTAATTAAGACCTTTCTTTTAAAAACCACACAAGTTAAACACAAGTCAAATGTTTTCCTGGTATATGTGGCAATTATTTATAACCTGACAAACAAAGGTAAATAGTTTTTATGCAATGCTTTACGAACACAGTGCAATAAAGCTACATATATAATTAAATTCAATGCATGTTTTCCTCGAATAAAAAGTGCCTAAGGCTTGACAAATTTCCTTCTTTACATGTTGACTACTTTTTATCATACAACATCATGTGGGTTTTTTTTGTGCCCTTTTAGAGTCATGATCCAATTTTTTTCTCTGTTTTGAAACTTAAGAAGATAACAAAATTTTCAACTGAAATATATCTTTTTAAGTCTATGAGAGAAAAACAAATGTAATAATTAAAGAGCAAAAAACATGCAGTTTTAAAAGAACATACCATATATAGTATCCTTAATTCTTCATTTTGAATTCAATTAATTAATGTCTTTATAAATAAGATGGGTAAAATCTAATTGTTAAATCCATTCATGCATGTGTACCCAGGTAATGAGTATACATGCATCCCAGATAATCCTTCAGTCACTATGGTGCTTTTTAACTTTTTTTAACCTTTCTGCCCATTGTTGATTATAATCTGTATACATTCCTGTGTTTATTTAAGCTTGTAATTGGGTGTAATAACAGTGTTGTAATTATGTAACAACAAGATCAACCTCTCTGATTTGAGTTGCTCAATTTGTTTGTTGCTTATAGCAGGTGTCATAATTGCCTGAAACAGATGTGACACATTCAGTTTTGAGCAAAAATCGCACATGCATTTATTTAAAAGATAAAACAACAAACGGAAAAAAAGAAACATATGTCACTTAAACTTTAATTGAAAAAAAAAATCAGTGGTAGAGATTGACTTCATTTATAAGTTAGAAATAGTAGCAGATAAATATGCCAATAAATCTGAATGTCAGTTACATATAAGTCCTTTTACAGTCTTTAAGAGATTTATTTTGCAATGTGCATAGATCTACAAATATATAGATCAATTCACACAAAGCTATGTATAAGTTCTTATCTTTATGAAAGAGATACATGTATAAAGAAGAAAAACATAGTAATCTGATATAAATGTTTAGATTTAACATTTATTTTTTTAAATTTTAATTTGATTTATTTGAAAAAAAAAAATCAGGGGTAAAAGAAGAAGAAAAAACTACCGTCTTGTAGTCATAATTTAAAGTAAGATAATTCACATGTCCAAGGTGTAACTTTGCACCAGAGAGATAATATACATGTACACTCTTCTGGTCAATTTGTGAAAGCTCCACTGGGCATGACCAATTTGACCTTGGTCTATATATGGAAATATCGACATAAGTGTTCTGATCGTTTGTAAGATAGCAGACACATGAAAGGCAGTAGATTTCTCATTCAAACACAATATCTCCTGGATCTTAAATTACCTTCACTGCAGGGCATTAATTGTAAAGAAGAATGCTTATGTCCAAAATCTCTGTGCATGCAGTACTAAGACAACTGGCCAGTACAGAAAATAGGTGATATAATGTGTTGGAGAAATATGGCATTGAATCAATGTAAAACTTCACAATATTAAAGATGCAATATTTATACCTGATTACATTTAAATAAAATGCCGAATGAGTGACATTATTAGTCAACTAAAATTGAAAAAATAATTGATGAATTAGACTAAAATTATTTTTTGAAATTCTGCACGTAGAGTCACATGAAATTATGTGGTCATAATACATACATAATATCATCTGTAAAATAAAACATTATTTTATTAACACCCAATTTAATCTGGCTGCACCGATAGTAAACAACATGATTGTCTTTCACTTTTCAATATTCCTTATAATTATGCATATTGGGTGTATAAAGCATTACATAAATTGGTCTCTGCAAACATTAATATTTTCATATTAGTGTATATTGTTATAAAAGTTGAACAATATTTCAACATTTTAATTTCTATTAAGCATTCACTGGGTAGAATATGAGATGTCAGTGTTTTATAAAGCAGATTTTTCAGTCCCTAGCTGAATAATTATCATATACAGCTGAATGTAGAAACACAAGAATAAAGTCAGGGTCATTGAGGAATTACTAACATTTTTTTTTTAATTTCGATAATAATCGTGGTTGTTCATCAGCTCCTATTCCTCTCCTTTTCTGCCCAGAATTTACTTATTTGTTCAAATCAAACTTATGTATCAGAACCTATAAAATCAACACAAGTTAAATCCTCAATATACTTAACTGTTCAATGATAAAAAATGGTAATAGGTTATAAATAGACCAATATCCCTTAGTTTAGTGCATTGTCCTAATTGTGTAACAGCTAAAAATCGGCTTAAATTAATCCATGTGCACCTGTAGAGCCAAGCTTGATACCCACGCATTTAAATCAATGAACACCCTGTACGGGGCCCCCATATCGAAAATGAATACAAAAATAATACAAGAAAAAAATACTAAAATAATACAAAAAAAGTATATTTTTAATGACCAAATTTGGAACCCTCTAAATCTTGGTTCCAATTTAGGTCAAAAATAATAGACTTTTTAAAAGCCAAACACAGAAAAATATATTTTTAATATACTTTATTTTTTCGAAATAATACAGAAATGATACACATGACCTGTAAAAACGTATTGTTTTTGTACTTTTGTATTATTTCTCTATTTTCCTCTCCAAAGTATAAAAATAATACAGTCCATAGAAAAGTATAGAAAAAATACAGAATGTATTAATTTTGTATTAGCATATATTATTTTTGTATTTTTTCACCTTTAAGAATTAAAATACAAAAAAAATATAAAATATATTAATTTTGTATTACATATATTATTTTTGTATTTTTTCATCTGGAACAATTAAAAGTACAAAAAAGATATAAAATATGAAAATAATACAGTACACAAAAAAGTATGAAAAAAATATAGAATGTATTAATTTTGTATTAATATGTATTGTTTTTGTATTTTTATCAGCATGAAGGATTGTATTTCAAAAATATCAAAAAAGTACAAGAATGATAGACAAAAAATACATTTAAATGCTTAAAATAATACAAAACAGAGTTTTAAAAACTACAAAAATGATCATGGGCAAAAATTGTTATTTGAAGAAAAGGGGTTGGAGATTGAGGTTCTTAATAGCATCTATTGATTGTTATTCAAAAATCTTTTATTTATTTGAAATATTTGTTAAATAACAATTTTAGTAACTCAGTCAGATTACCTTAAATGTACAAATAGCTAATTAAAAAGTAATTAATGTGGCCAGGCTACTGATTCAGCTACCAATTCTAGTCTTGATCTTTCTTTTTACATATAATCTGCTCTTCAATAGTCTTGATATTTTTCACAAGTTTAACTAATCCTGTTTTCTTTGTACTTTTACCAACTGTTTCGATCTCTCTGCTTTGCTGTTTCTTTTGTATGGAAAAGGTAGAGGAGTGTTTACTTTGTTGCAGAAGTCCATCTTCAAATCACACAACCTGTCATCTCATCTGACTTCATCACTGTGAAATATAGAACAGAATGATATAATAATAAAATTTAATGAACCATTACCTCAACAAAACACACATTTTCACATCCAAAATAATTCTCTATAGATTTTGTTTAGCTCACACACCTGCAATACTTTCTTGAGAGGGATCTTCTTCCTCCATGACTAATCAGCTTTTCTTCAATGTTCTGCTGACTGAAATTAACAATAATTATAAATTGAAATTCCAAAAGATCCAGCGGAGTTCACCAAATTCGATACAATTGTACCATTGAAATTACTTTTCTTTAATCTGGGGTGTTTCTTAGGGGACAACCATTTGATTTGACAATCTGGAGAAGAAAAAGGGGGGGGGGACTGATTTATATAATATTTTTTAAAAAATATTTGTAATAAACAATCTGTCCTTGAAAACGTTGAAAGAGTAAACAAAATGTGTGCCACAATGTTATTTAAATAAACTGCCCCCCCCCCCCCGAACCCAACCTACCCCCCCCCCTCGAAAAAATTTGAGCTTATACAAATTACAGAATTGTTTTTGAAGGGAAAATAAATAATTCGCCTCTGGTAAACTTGAAAAAATTGGAATGAATTAGAAATAGGAAGCCAAAGGCTTGAAAATTACCCCCATCTTCCACCCCTCCCTCCCCAATCAGAATTTATCACAAAAACCCTTGTTCCCCACATGGCCAATAACCGTACTATTTTATCTTTCTACAATACTACAAAATGGGTAAAAAAGGCATTCTTTGTTCCTCTATCTTTGTGCTAAGTTATTATTTAAAAAACTGAAACTTTAATGTGCTAAAATATACATAATCTTACCGCAACTGTCATTGTTTACACCAGAAAAGTCCGGATATGATGCCTAAAAAACGCCAGTCTCCTTATGTATTTGCTTTCCTTGGTTCATATATATGATCCTGTGTACCATGATTATGCTGAACTTCTGTTTTTCGATCCATTTTACTCGCGAGCAAATGAGAGTTTATTCAAAATCACCTCCAGCTTTCTCAACACGTCCCGGGAAGAATTTTCAAAATGGCGTGGGTGAAATATTGTTGACCAATCAGAGAACAGTACGGAAGAGTTTTAAAATCTGACCAATCATATTGTGTCATATATACGAAAATTACCGATGTTGAGATCGGAACAGTTAGAGAAAACATATTTACATGGTTTTAAATATCTTGAATGAATTGAACAAACCTAAAATTATGTTAGAAAAAAACGATGTTCAATTTAATCATCAGAATCATTTTTTTATTCCTTACGGAATTTACCGATTACGAAACATCGTTATTTCCGGTCATCACTTCCGCTGAGAGCAGCCATTTTTATATTCAAGTTG